GTCATGCACAAAAGAGATGTCATAAATAACACTAAAATCTCTCTATGAGTGTGTCCCTACGTGCTAAAAAATAAGGGCCTTTAATAGAAAAAAAATCGTTTCATAAAGTCACAGGTTTATCATAGTAACTTAACTGAAGAGACAAACAACACTGAAGGGTGTAACCGGTTCATTCGCTCTTTCTGCATTACCGAAATTATGCTAAAGCCTCTTGCATCATTTAACCACACGGATCAAAACTATTGAGTGAAATAAATATATATGTGTACTTTTGCACATCGCGTCGTAATGCAAATCTCTAAATTCTGCCCGTCACTCTCATACAGAAGAATGAATCGTTAGCCACCAAGCTAGCTAGCATCAATGTAAATCTTCAGGCGTGTTATCCCATTTAAAAAAAGAAATAATCTCGCAAACATGTTCTTTGTGCTTTATTCTCGCTGGATGTTTATCTCCCAAAACTAAGAAAGGCGCCGACCGGTCGGATGACGATGGATTTGAAGGTAAAACAGGAATGAAAGCGCACTCACCATCATGTTTGCAGGATAGAGAAGGACGCTGCCGGGTGAGGTACCCACAATGCACCTAGAACTCTCTAGAACACGAGAAGCGTCTGTTGGCAAACTGATGATGACCAGCAGAGGGCGCTATTACTATAGTTTTCATGACTGCTGCTCTGCAACCAGAATTTTTTTTTTTTTTTTTTTTACATATCAATTATTCATTAATTGTTAAAGAAAGAAAGAAAGAAAGTTTTGCGTTATGGAAGGTTTCCACCAGGAAATATATTTGGTGAAGTGGAAAGTAAGCCATTTGTTTATGAGTAAGTAGGCTAAACAAACAAACAATGAATAAATAAATAAATAAAGTTATGCATTATGGAAGGTAAATTTAATTAACCTTGCAGGTCACAATATGCCTGCTTAGCTGCTGTATGTAAAATAGTCAATAAAATGTTTCAAATAAATAAATCAATAATATGTAATAAATATTTGTAATATTACATTTCCACTAGGAACATATTTGACATTTCTATTTTATCCTAAATATTGATTGACCAGTTTTCACAGTTTCTTACATTTGTAAGAACAAACAAGCAAATAAACTCTAGTAATGAGATTAGGGAGGAATGACATTCAGTAGAGATTATCTACAAATTGTATGCAGATTACAGATCTCACTCTTTCTTTTATCCCACCCCCATTTCTCCATTTTGACTCTTACATATGTCTGTCTTATCACCAGACAAGCTGTTACTTAATTTTTACATCCTTTTTTTTTTTCTCTGTGTCTGAACCACAGAGAGACTATCCTTCAGATGAACAATATGCTTCTGGGCAAATTAAAACAAACAGACAAACATGCAGTTCAGACGGTCAAGATATGTCACAGTGTTTAAAGCACAAATAACAACACTCAGACTTCAGTTCTTTTTCTCTCTGTTTCCCGCATGCACACACACATCATGTTCAGTAGCCTTGTTTATGCACTGTATTCTTCTCTATATATTTAAGATGTCTTAGATGTAACAGTATATGTATACTTTTTTTTTTAACCCAGTGTAACTACAGGCTTAGGCTGCTGTGGTTTACAATTGGTTCTGGATAGTGAGGGTGGTGCATGTTTCTTTCTGTGATGTGTCTGTAGTCTGTGGCTGAACTCGAAGCTCTCAGGGTTCCCTTTTTTAGACACATGTAATTATCAGACGTTATATATACGCACCCTGCGTCGCCCTTATGGAGGGTACCTTTTAACTGGGATATTTCTGGCATCTATGGCAGTTGACCCACCCATCTGTGAGACTGCACAAGATGAAGATCCAGCGCTATGCAAAATGTTCAAGGTTCCATCCAGATACACAGAGATGTCTAAAAAATATACAGAATATAACCTACCTTGTTGAAGACCAAAGTCTTGACTGGTCAAGCAAAGCTCTCTGAATGTGATTTGAACTCAGGGCCATTTCTAGCCATTTTGACACCCTAGGCAAAATCCCTATTGGCGCCCCGTTCACATTGGTTGTCATAGTAACGACACTAATGTGTGGAGATTCGGCACATTGTGAGTTCCACAAATCTGAACGCATTATTTGTAAATTGACATAAGATATAAATTTTGCACCATTTATAATCTGTAATACCATTGTGTAGCCACTAGATTCCTGAATAGCCTTATATGAAATATATATATAAACAAGTTTGTGCAATCCCTAGTTGCTAAGAAATTGTCATCACACATAAATTAATGTGAATACATTTGGATTTGGATACATGTTTAGATATTATCAATGACTACGTTTTGTCTTTATCTGTTGTTGCTGTTTGAAACGTTGATTTAAAGTGTCAGTTTTTGCAAAACCCTTTATTACCCCAAACTACATATAAAAGCTTGATCAGTCACATAAAAGTAATCAGAATGCAGCCACTTATGGCTTTGTTACTCACTGATGCGTGAACTTCCCCTTTAAATAACGTGACACTCTGCCCTTTGTGTATGATGCTGATACCACTAAGCGCTGCTAGAAGTGAATGAGTTGATTCAGCATTTTGACACTTCCGTACAGATGCATTAAATTCGACAAAGCGGTATAATAAAGGATGTATTGATCTTGTGAATTAGCAAATTTTACTAGACCAATATTTTTTAATTGGCCGTTAAAGTTTTATATGGCAATATTACACAACACACTCATCCTTTATCAATGCATTGGCGGGGAAAAATGCACAACTTTTAGACCAATTTCGCAGCATGATTTCTCGACTGCCACAAATAGGCCTACTGCCCTAACAAAATACGGATTTTGTGCCCTTTTTACTTGTACCAATATTTTACATTTGCTTTCGAACTTAGCTTTATTGCATGGGGGAAAAAAGCGTTACCTTGCCAAAGCATTGACAGAACCTACTGATCTAATGGTGTTGTTGAGCACTTCAAAGGCAAAGCCTTCAGAGCTGATCCCTCACTGACAACCTTTACAAATCTCAGGAACCCCACCTTAGCACTCAAAAGAGACCCACCGCAGATCTCATTCGCCTTTATGTCCTCTCTCTTTCTCCCCACTGTCATTATCAACCATCTTTCTAATTTCTCCTCCTTTACTGTACCCTTTAATGTGGCCATGCAACTCCATATGTGTCCTCTGTGTGATAGAGCTCAGGCTGTAATCACTAACACCAGTGATGAATGGGAGCCGCTGGTGGCTTTTGGCACTGACAATCTTTTCCTCCTCTCTTCTTTCCAGTCTATTATATGGACCACCAAGCACTGGGTGCCTCATGTGGACTTGATGATTCCAAAGTGCATCTATAGATTGGTGAGATAAGGCTGAATGGTTTAGAATAGTTCCATTTTAAGAATACTGCAAACTGTAATTTAAACATGACACAACATTCAGGGAGATGGATGTGTATAGGGTTCACACATCTTTAGACATTAAAGTGATGTGCAGTGATTTGGATCCAAGAGCTGGCAAAGCAGGACTGAATTAGTTAATAGGGCTCGATATTTAATTTGCGATAAGAGTGCATGTGCATTCATACATTAGTGCTTCTTGTTAACAAATTCTCATGTAAATATCCACACTTGCACAAGCAAATCCATGGCCACCAAAAGTGTTGTGCATGTGCAGCACTAGGTGAGCCATTAATCTGAACACTTGCACAGTGCTCGACAATTAAAAAGCCAATCCATCACAACCTAATCAATACCGTCTCACTCTGATGGGTGAGGTTGTTTGTCCTAATAACTGTTTTGGCACCTGCCATTAATCTTTCTACAACAAAATGTGTGAGTTTGTATAGAAGTGTGTCTGTATGTGTACAGGTTTGACTATACTTATTTAGGGGCAGGGGTTGGGTTAGGCAATAACATATCATTAACCTTATTTAAACAGGAAAACTTTACAATAAGGTTGTATTTGTTAATATTAGTTAATGCATTCATTAACATGAACTAATATTAACAATTATTAAAAATTAATATCAGTTAATGCATTCATTAACATTAACTGTTCTGTATACAGCATTAGTTAAGTGAGCAATAAGGTGCAAAAGGCCATGCTGTATTGTGAAGTCACGGCTGAGGGCGTTGTTTAACGACATATTACAGGTTACTTCAAATAGGAGGAAATAACTGCTGCCAAAATAACTGCTTCCAATTATTGGAACAAAGGTTTGGCATTCACTAAGACTGTTTGGACTCAAATAACCACATTTTTACAAGGTATATGAACAAATTAAAGATGTAATTTTTTAAAAATCATTATTTATCCTAATAGCAATAGTCGTTTTGGATTTTATAGTGACACCTATTGGCCTAGATGCATGAAGTTTATTTTTTGATCGTATTTGTTATTTTTCGTCTGGTTGACGTAGACAAACATATTCAGTTTGGACTGTCTGTTGGATTGTACCCATGCTGATCAATACCATCACACTGGACTAATAAGTAGTATGTCTAATCTGTTTGTTGTTGTATTGTTTGCTACTTTCATGTTTCTGCTTTGCAAAGCGCCCTGAGCTGACTAAATGTGTCATATAAAAAGTCCCTATTATTATTATTATTATTTTACCACAACCTGGCTGGTCATGTGATGTCAACATGGCGGCACCCATGAGGGGGCGACCAGCTGCCTGCAGAATAAAGAGAAGACTGGCATGGCTGGCATCATCTAATGGGAGTGTAATGGACGTCATTTTAATTAATGGCATCGCTCAGAAGTGCTGTTCGTGAACAAATATTATGTGTAAAACTTTTAAAACATAAATACTGCACCTTTAATTACTTCACTCATTAACATACGCTGTAGAAACGAACAAGCCTAACCGGTTTGTACGAATGATGTAGACCAAGTCATGTATGTGGCATTCTCTCTCCCCACCCTCGGCACAGCAGCTGATGCTGATGCGAGTACGCTCATTCTGACTCTCACATCCTGAGCGGCTACACACTGTCACCCGCTCCTCCTCTATTCTCTTCATTGAACTTTGAGCAGAGCATTTATTCATATGTAGTCAGCAGCGATTCGTCTCGTTATTCTTAGTGGATATAGCCTATGACAAGAGAAACCACTTACGAGAGGGATTCATTACAAATTACGGTCATCAACGGAGGAGACATACGTGGACACTAGATCAGTTTGATCAGAACAGGACATCCTGGGGGTTTAGAGTCTCAAGATTAAACGAGATCTATTTCCATTCCCTAACACTTCTAACAGCTCAAACCAGTGCCAAACGGGAACTTACTGGTTATTGAAAACAGATCGTGAGGGCGATTATTTTATTTAGAGAGATACATGTAAATACAGGAGCAACGGAGAGAAACCTGTATTGCAGGAGCCAGAGAAGATCGCTAAAAGTCTGTCCTTAACAAGCGAGAGAGAGAGGTTTTCAACTAACGGAGAGCTGCATTGAAATTTGGAAGGTCAGTTGATGCTGAAGTGAACTTATGCTGAAGTCTGTGTGAAGTTTTTCATTTTAATGGATAAGGCGCAGTGACACGCTGTGGAAATGTTCAAAAATGTGACAGCTTTGTTGCAGAACATAATATTTAAAAAGACAATTTGCTTGATTTTAATGGAATTTTTTTTTTTAAGTAAAAAGAAGGGTGAATTACTTTATAATTTACGGAAATATGTGTATATTACGGTAGGCCTACAGTGTTGTTAAAATCATGAGTTAAGTAAAACGAATGAAATGATGAATTGAAAGCACAGTAGTAACACCAAGGTCATAGGTTTGATTAGCAGGAACAGGCATAAAATGTATAGTTCATGTATGCATGTAAAGTTAACGTTTGCTGGTGCTATTATGGTAAACATTAGGCCTACATGTAATGACAATAAGAACTGTCGAAATATGCAGGAATACAGTCATTGTGTTTTTATGGTAAAGTTCTGGCAACCGTAGGCTGCCAATATTTTATCTACAGTTTTTAAGGACTAGTTAGCTCGGTCCTAAATTGTAGACAGCGAATTTACGAATTTTGTAAGATATGCTAATATAGGTATTTTTGATAGAGTCTTATGTAGGCGGGGTCACCAGTTTATATATAGCCTATGGTAGCCTTCAATTAAAATAAAGAACTTGAATCCTCAATTTTTGAATATAGTAGGCTATAAAGCTAAGGATAGGTATACAGTATGTAAAGTGCGCATGGTGACTCATTAATTAAGGTTAGGCTACACAACTTGTCTTAGGTGCACCGCGTAGGCTAGCACACAGCCATCAGCGAAATGACCGTCTCAATTCGGTCAAGACTAGTAAGGTGATTAAGTTGTTTATTTGCTTTCAGTGGGGTTACACTACCAGGTCTCCTCATACTGGAAAGCTAGTTGTCTGGCTGGAAACCACCTCGCCTCGGACGCGCTGGGGGAATAGATTCCTGACATGAGCGACTAACACAATCGACAAACAACAACACACCGGCGGATAAACCGCACTGATCCCTGCGAGCGACCACCTGTTTCCAGCGCAGACCAAACGGTAAGCGCTTCACTTTACTGAAGGACAATCCAAGAGAATACTGTTTGCATAGTTACGTCTCCAAAAGGTTTATTTATAAATGATGTCTCTTCATTTGAATATTGCAGTCTGAGTGACCGCTATGCGTAAAGGCGCATTAGATAAGTGCTGCTGGGATCTTGGAAATCGCATTGCCATAATTTTCGTACTTTATTATGCAATCACTTTGTAATGTAGTTGAACCACTGAAGTGGTTAAATGATTGTTAATTAAGAACACAGAATCACAAATAAACGGGGTATTTTGAAGATCCAAATCCACTTTCATTTCCATGTGCGCGCTCATCCTTTACTTCTTCCCACCCTTTCACTTCATCTCAGTCACCCATTTCATCAATCCCAACGTCTCTCTCTCAGATTATTCTCCTTTAATCCAACGCAAAGTCTCATTTGAACCTGCGTTACGCAATTGGCAACACTGGTCAGGATGCAGTTATTTGTGAGCAAAATGCCTGTGTTTCATATGTAGCAAATCCCTCTCAAATGACAGATTATAGAGGAGATTATAGAGGAGTAAACAATTGTGTGTGTTTTTTTTTTATTGTTATAAGAGAATAATTGCTTTGCATAAATGTCTCACTCAGAATACCTTATTAGTCACAGAACATTTTCCAGTTATGCTAGATGTTTTGTACTTTGCGTGTCCTTAATTTGCCAGCAATTCACAAACACAAAACAAAATTATTTGACCAACACACCCAAACAGGCAGGGAGAGACATGTTTTAATAAACAATTACACTGCCAGATGCCCTTCTGACCCTGGTTTGGTTTGAAGGAACTACATCAACCCTAGGAAGTCTGTTTCATGCTTTTAACCCCCCTCCCCCCCTTTCTTAAGTGTAATTCAGTCTTTCTGAAAGTGTCTTCATAAGTAAGGAACCAAATCAACCAGCCACGAGGTGAATGTTGCAAACTTTGATTAGAAGCAAAATATATTTGGAAATCATACAAGAAGATATAAAAATACAAGCAATTTTCCCTCTATTTTTTTTCTTGCCTGAGCAAAAACATTCTTTATACCAGACCTGTACAGCGCACACACAAAAAAGTGTGTAACTTTTAAGTTTAATGTGCTATTTATATTTGATTTGGCACTTGATGTAACTAAATAATGCACATTTTAGGTTAGAAAACATCTTTTTTTTTTTACAGTGCTGTGTTACCAAGAATTCTAGTAAAAAAATGTTTTAAAAGAATCTCACACAGAACATGAATGAACGTGAACATGTGAATTCTTATATAGTTATCTAAACATCCCTATGTAGTAGAGTTCACACTCTACTAGAGTTATGCCTGTGTGTGACTGTAAATGTCTCGCAGTTTTGTTACCGTTCTGTTCCCATCATCCGCTATTATCAACCCTTAATCAAGCCACTCTTATTTAAAACATGATGATGTTTTATTTCACGTCATTGTGTTTGCGTTGGCTCTCATGTTGAGCAATTTCGTCCACAACCATTAAAGTACAGCGACTCATTTGTCACACATCATTCTCTTTCTATGAACCGCAATTCACCGGTTCTAACTCTATAGCGACACCAACTCTATATTGGTTTGCCCGAGCATTGCAATTATTTCGCATTTAATAGAATCAAATGGCTTTCCCAACTAATTTTTGCATGTCCTGTGTGCGGCATATTATTTCTTCTGTGCAGTCGCGACGTAAGAAGTGCGCAGTCACGCAAGTGCGCAGCTTAAAGGGAACATTGGGTACAAGACTGTGTACTTAATGGCATAAATGAGGGAATAAACTACAATACCATGCAGCATCATGAATGACATAATCAAAATAAAAACAATGGATACATTTAAAAATATTGATTTAAAGATGTTGATTAGAAACACTATTATGTTACATTTATTGCAGTATATGCATATATACACAGACATTTAAGTAATTTGAAAATTTAGGGAGGAGTCTATCAAATAATTTGTAGTGGTTCATGGGAGTGGGCCTGCTCTAAAGAGATATTTTGGCACAATTTGCTAGTTTAGATTCTCTGAATGGTTGAGATTTCTTTCCAGAGTCATCGGAAATGCAAGTTTTCACTGGGAATTCCAATGCTGAACATGATTTTTGAAAAAATATTATGAAATGTTTCCCCATAGTGAAAACTACGCATTGTCTTGTTCCCTCGTCTCAGGGAACCGAGATTATGTTGAGTAACCAGAGACGTTTCAACCGGAACTATGTAAATACAGTAAAGGAAACTTTGCTTGTCATTAATAAAAACTCCAAAAACATATGTATACTTGAAATTTAGTGCAATTCTATCTGAAACAAATTTTATTAATGTTCACATATATTTGCTGCAGCAGACTATTGGTTAATAAAGACTTATTTTCACATTTCAGTTTGAAAGTGTTGCGAAATGTGCAAAAAGCAACATAATATAATTTTGCTGAAATGTCACCACAGGCATGTTTTTCCAATGAGCTTGGGTTGTGTGTAGTGGGTTGAAATACATTTTCCAAATGAACGTAAGCTAAAAGTTACTTATTTATTTGAGACCGGACAAGCTTTTTCTGGCCCAGGTCACATTTTTTATTAATATGGAGCGTAAGTGTGCCAGGAAATATGTCTTATTTGACCTGCGGGATTGGTGGTTGGAGTGAGCGAGGAGAAGAGGTAATTAAAATAGATGGGTTGAGGAAATTGAGATTTGTTAAGAGAGGCTAACGTTATGAAATCTGTCATTAGTCACACAGTACCTATTCATGCGATAAGAGAGTCACCAGCAGGTTATGTGTGTTGACAATCATAATGATGTTGGTGAACATTATTTTTATGTAACGGGAAGCACTCCGGTTTACTTGGAGTTGTGATAAAATCATAAAAATGTTCAGCACTCTCTTCTTTTTGTCTGGTGGTACCACATCTTAAAAGCCTCTAAATGGGGTATCTGGCATAGTTCAAATCAACTAGTCTAATGAGACAAAGTGGGAAACAGAGCTTAAAGGGATAGTTCACCCAAAAATGAAAATTCTGTCATCATTTACTCACCCTCATGTCGTTCCAAACCTGTATGAGTTGCTTTCTTATGTTGAACACAAAAGAAGATATTTTGAAGATTGCTGGTAATCAAACAGTTGGTGGTTGCCATTGACTTCCATAGTATTTTTTTTCCTACTATGGAAGTCAATGGCAACCACCAACTGAGTAAATGATGACAGAATTTTCATTTTTGGGTGAACTATCCCTTTAAATATGCATGTATAATCCATATCTGGTTTTAATGACAAACAGACCCTTCCAGAGGGATTTGTTTGTCTGTGGTGTAGATTAAAACTAATTCTGGACAAAAGCCCTCATTTAATTACTATTGACATTTCAATTACTTGTTCTATAGTCAAACCCTGAAATCCAAAGGTTAAATGAGCATTTGCTGAAGACATGCTAGTTTCATGATTGGAATTATTTGAGGAGCTAAAAACCAAAATGTTTGTTTGTTTGTACCTCAACAGAATTCTAATTTTAACAGGAAAAGGAAAATAAAGGAAATATTATGAATATCTTGTGTAGAATTCATTGCCAAGACAAACATCTTTACTCCTTCTGTGGATTATGATTTGACATGATTCAAACTATTATTGATAGTTGTATTTTATGGGCATATTTCTGACATCGCCTGTGGGATGTCTTTTTCCACATACTCGCACACAGGTCAGATTATTGTGATTAGTGCAGTTTTTTCAACCACTGTTTTTATTTTAATTTCACTTAGTTTTTGTTTTATTTGTGTTGTATCAGTTTAATGTTTTTAAAATCAATAACTAAATTGTTTTTGCATACACTCTCAGAAAAAAAGGTACAAAAGCTGTCACTGAGTTTAAAATACCTTTTAAAAAGCTACTGCCCCAGTGACATCTTTTGAATTGGTGGTTCATCTCTTTAGATCACTGATGTCAGTGTCATGTGGAAGGGACATGAGGAGGTCAAAGATGAAAAAGGGGTAAATGCAAAAGTGAGGGATGATCTCTGATTATATGAGGGGAGACAGTCTCTCACATACATGTCAACTGATTAAAAAATGTGATGCGCAACATCTGCCTATAGATGGAGAGAACATTAGCGTAGAAGAGTGTGAATGAGAGGTGCGAGGAAGAAATCAATATCTATGTTTCCATCACCCTGTTTTTATGCACATTTTGAAGTATCGCATCAGAAACCAGTGATGGAAATGCCAAATTTTGAAAAAAAAAAAATCAAGCAACAACAAAAAAAAGTTGTTATGCTCGCTTGAGGTGGTTTTTGACTTGTGCAAAAAAGGGTTAATGTGAATAATGGGAGATGGAAACGCATTTTGCGAATAAATTCCTCCATGTGTATCAAAAAATCATGTGACTTTGCACGATGAGACGGCATAACCTGACAAATCAGCGGACTGATCTCATTGCACAGCAACTGAAATGTTGTTATGGTTATTCTTAAATGCCCGAGCAAAGTCTGTCGTCAAAGTTTGTCTGTATAATTGCCTCCCAGAACTCTCTTACACGACTGCTTTCCCAAACAGCAGCATCAATCTCCGAAAGCAATGACTGCTCACTCTGAGGCACAAATAATTTATTATATATGAAAATTATTATATTCAGTGGCTTCTCCTACTGTTCTTAGTGATATTTATTGCCACTTTATCAGGAAGTTATGCTTTTGTTCTGTTTGACTCATTGGATGGAAATGGTGCTTATTCACGCATGCTTTATGCAATATTTCAATTTTGCGCATAAGTTAAATTCGCAACTTTGTATGGAATCCCAGCTTATGTGAGGATGTGAGAAGAAAGAGAAAGAAGGTTATAAGCGAGAAGGCATGGCATCTGTCAGATTTCTCCCACAGGCTCTTGATGTTAGATACCACTCTCAGACACTCTGGGAGAAAATCTTTTGAATTGGGGACATACATCTCTTTGACAACTCTTAAACAGCAACACATAAACCACTATATAGACTGTACTGTAGAG